CCGGGGATTGAACTCAGGCCCATGTGCTTGCCAGGGAAGCGCTTACTCTACTGAGTCATCTCCCTGGCCCCTCTCTCATTATTCTTAATACAACTACTCAGTTGCTTAACCCCCTCATGCACACTCTCCTCTGCCACCACAGGAGGTTCTGCTCAGATGCCCACTCTTGCTTGGGCTCTGCACCCCCTTTCCTCCTTATGCTGTCTGGGCACAGAAGCCCCACCACATGTGGGCACTGTCATCACCTGCCTGGCCTTTGAGACCTCTTTCCCTGCTGGCTTCTTCTGGTCTTCATGCTCTAAGTGGCTCAGGCAGGCTGCGCCCTGGCACTGGGCACCTCCTGGTGGGCACGCTGCTCTGCTGGTCCTCGGCCACCTAGCTTCCCACGTGCATGCACCCCTCACCATGCTGGATCCACACTCTGTGCCTGCCACTGTGCCACTCCCTCCCTGGACTGGCAGTACTGCGCCATCAGTGCTGACACTGGGTGCTTCCACCACAGCAGCAGATGCTGTCTTTGCTTACTTTTTGTAAGGGCTTTATGACTGAATTATTAGGGCAAGAAAGTACTTTTGTTTGTTTGCTTTGAGACAGAGTCTCTCCATGTAGCTCAGGCTGGCCTTGAACTTACTACCTAGCCCTGGCTGGCCTTGAACTAGCAGTGATCCTCCTTCCTCAGCCTCCTAAGTGCTGGGATTACAAGCATGCACCACTACTCCCTACCAAGAAAGTAATTTTCATTACATTTAAAATTATTTACCACATGTGTCTTTATTTGAGTAGATTAATTTTCTGGGGCACCATTCAAGTTGTTGGCTGAGCAACAAAATCACGTGGCACTTTCGGCTGATTGGCTCTCTTAAGCAGTGCACATCGTGAAGGCTGTAGTTCTTACTTTCATAAGCCATGCAAAGCCTGCTATTTTGTTTCTCATGCTTTATTTTCCTCTTTCCTCTTCAGCTCTGTGATTGCCCCTGTAGACTTTCTCACCACTATTTTCTTTTCTCTCTTTCTTATTTCTTTCCATTATTTAATGAGCTCAGTTGTGTGTGTGTGTGTGTGTGTGTGTGTGTGTGTGTTTGGTTGTTCCTCCAAGGGAAAGTCTGTGGCACAGAGTGACAGGATCCAAGTGGCCTGGGTTGGTGGTAGTTTGTGCAGCAAAGGAAGAGAACAGTCCTTTCTCTCATTGACATCTAGTTGCGAGCATGGAATTTACCTGTCTCTGTGCCCATTCTGAATCTGAAGTTAAATGAGAGCTGGGCATGGAAGAAGTAAACGAGATGCTATGCTTATATTTTCCAAATTAGATATAGGTGAAATACACGGTGCAGACATTTACATATTTATGGACTGTCTAACTGTGACCAGGTCAAGATACAGAAAATCCCATCATCTCATTTCTTGCCCAGTTATACCCATTCCTCCTTCAAAGTTAGTAACCGTTCTGACCTCAACCACCATAGACTGGTTTTGTCTTTTTCTGAGTCTTGTGTCAAAGTGAGCATTCACAAATACCGCACCTATGTGTGGTGTTGAGGGCCATATCGTAGGCTGAACTTGCAATTATCTAAGGATGAATGATGTTGAACACTTCTACATATTTGTATTGGCTATTTTGATACTGCTTTCCTGAAGCTGCCTTTGAGTCTTCGCCAGTTTTTTAACTGGTACCACACGTTTTAAATCACACAGAAGTGCTTTCCTGTGCCTGGCAAGCGGGCAGGAGTGTCAGATCACACACTCTGGGATATGGCGAGAGATCTACTGGGCACCCATGAGAGTGCAACCGGAACTTGGCAGTGGGAGGGAACTGATCCAGCCCAGTATGTTTCTATCACCAGCTCTGGGACTATGGGAAGACTGCATTGTGCTATGAAATGTTTACTGTGCTAAACATTAGTTAGCATTCCAATTCTTTTTATTTTGTTGACAATACTCACAATTAAGCTGCTTTTCAGATGCTTTTAAAAAATCCCATAAAATGACTGCATATGAGGGTGTGTGTGTGTGTGTGTGTGTGTGTGCAATTTCACATCAGTGAAATTCTATTCTCATCAAATCTCTCTTACGACCAAGACGCTGCAGTCTTGGTTTGGCATCATCCACTCCTCCCAGTGGGAGCCAGCTCTTACCTTCCAGCTCACAGGCACCCGGAGCTCACAGGCACCGCAAGGCACAGGCAGTGGTGCACACTTCCTCCCAGCTTTGCATTTACTGAGGTCCTTTTGGTAGTTTGGAACTGTACTTTGTGGGTGCATTCATGCCATTAAAATTAGCATATGTTATGAATTAGAGATTTTTTATGAGTTGTTAAACATTGACAAAGACAATGGCTTCTATTACACAGGAGTTGCAATTGGCAAATATCAGTGGTCAATTTTTATTCCCTTGCTTTCATGTAAAATTAAGTTATTGCTAGCTTTACTGGCATGTAATGACATGAAGGCACAGGGCAGGGAGTTATATCCTGATAGAAATATGTCTCAAAAGCAGGGGAAACACAGAAGTATGGAGAAATAGAGGAGAAAGAGTGCTCACCTAGGAATGAAAGGAATGAGTTTTCCCCAACTTCATAATATTCCTAAAAATTAATGTGACATTATTAATAGCGAGCTATGAAACTGAAATTATCAAAATTATCAAGCATGCTAGAATAAAGTGAG